GTTAGAAAATTTTTATCATTTTACCGATCATTACTAAAAATGATCGACAGCCGGTGACTTTTGTCAGGGGAGTGTACAATAAGATTCAAGAAGAGAATCTAAATTTAATGTTCTTTAACTCAATTTTTTTGCAAGCTTTTCAATTATCGTTTGACAAGCTTGCAAAGCAAGTAGATAACCATTACTTTTTAATGCTATACAATGCTTTGACCCTAAATTTATTCGATATTCAACATTGCGACAAGTTATACCGTGATAGAAGAATTTAAGAATTTAAGTGATAATTTGTTAAATGAATGGAATATTTATTGTAAACTTGGCAAAGAATTAGATGAAAATTTGAACTTGGATAAATATTGGAAAGAAAAATATAATGATTTACCTTCTCTTTCAAGAATCACATTATTTTATATCTGGTTACCTGTATCTGGTGTTGATATAGAATGGAGTTTTAACAATTATAAAAATATTTTAAGTGATAAGCGGTATAATCTTTCACAAAATTCTTTGTTAATGCTAAACTTACTTTATTTTAATAGGGCAATTTAGTAAACATTTTTTTTTTAGTAATTTTTTTTTGTTAAAATTTTTTTTTCTTTAAATTTTTTTTTTCTTTAAAATTTTTTTCTTTGTAAATTTTGTAATACAAATTCATAATTATCACATTATGTAATGATAATCAAAGTTAGAACAATATAAATATGTATAAAGTTCCTTACATAAATATTGCACAATTTGAATTTATCACATCGCACTACGATGCATTTCAAATTGCATAATCTGGGGTCTCTAATTACCATTATTAAACAATAATAATATGTAGAATTTTTAAGACTTGCAGAAATCATTTGTCACGATTTTGCATATTATCATTGTTTTAACAATATACAAATAGTGTCAATTGACTTACCAGATAGCTGATATAAAAAAAAACAATGATAATATAGAGAATTCAAAATTCATAATCAATTTGTCGCATGTTTTGTAAAGCAGTATTACGAATAGTAGTAGAGTATGGTTTAGTAAAGTAGTGGAGTATGCTACAAATACCGCATTTGAGTATATAAAAACTTGCATACTATACTCATAATATGTATTACATGTAAAATAGTATAGTCGTAAAAGAATTTAATTAAATGTGACCTCACGAAAATTTTACTGTAATTAAAATATAACAATATCCCAGAAAAAGAATTTAGAAGTGTTTAAAAAAATGAAGGTTTTGCGGGATTGTATGCTCTCACAAATTAAGATTTTACGATATAGCTTAATTATAGCAATACAAAAACTATTGTTATTATTTCAAACTTTTTTCCAGCATGCAATTATTCTTTGAGAACTGTTTTTTGACAAATCCAATTATTTTTTGAATGTCTTGAGATGGTAACATAGAGTGTTGTGCTTTATAATATAAGAAATATTTCTGAACTTTCTATTTCAGGTGAAAATCTAGAAGTTTCTTGAGAAAAAGAACCCGCAGAAAACCTATCTTCAAATGTATTATTGATGTCAAAATTCTCAAAATATTCATTAAAGAATTATTTTTCCAAAAAAATTCTCTTTATTAGTTTATTAAAGAATTATTTTCTTCGAAAAATGTTCATTCTTAGATGAGCTACTAATCGAGAACTATCATCATTCGAAGGTATCATCAATTCATTAATAGACATTTTTAAAAGCGATTTTAAAAAAAAGAAAAAAAAACATCGTTATGATCATTTAATTTTGCTATTTAATATTTAATAGCCATATTAGACTTCGGGCTTTTAAACTATCAAATGAACATTTTAAACTCTAAATATAAAATTTCATAAAAATTGGACCCGATATTGTAAGTTTAAAAGCCCGATACATTACTTTTCTTTAAAATCGCATTTGCATAATTTTATATACGTTTGCATACGTACTATACACGATATATTAACTTATACTTAATAGTAACCTCATCAATCATACGTACGTGTTTGCTAATTTAACGTATTATACTCCACTACTTTACTAAACCATACTCTACTACTATTAATTTTACTCTTTGCAAAGAGCGATAATATCAACTGGCGTTGCAATGATTTGCAGATCTTAATTCAAATCAAAATTTAAAAATAATCATAAACCTATTTTATGATTTTTCTGTAAATGCAGAAAATTATTGACGCTGTTACAAAGCGATATATATTATTTTCAGAAATAATACAGAACACATAATAATTTCTCAATATAAGTATAGTAAAACTTTTTTTTTTTTGGCCCTATAGCATAATAACAAAATATAAAATAATTTAGATTTCGGCATTTCGAGTTTCAGGAAAGGAGATTTTTAGCAAAAGTATCGAAAGTTATATTTCGATTAATGTGAATTTATTAATGATGATAACTTTGCCTAATTTCATTAAACTCAATAAAAGTATCATCAAATTTTACACCACCCATCATTCATGAATTTCATTATTTGCGTTCACATCCTCCTTAGATTGCGTAATATCATTTGTAAATGAACTACTTTCAAAATCAAATACCCAATGACTATCATCTGGTGGTTCATGTTTTAAGATATCGGAAACTTCCCGTTTAATCGTTCTATGATAAAAAAGATGAGTCAGGCAATAATTAAACTTTGATAATATATATTAAGCAACTTAAATTAACATATAATTACTCGCAAAAATAATCCAAATCGAAATGATTATAACCATCACCAAAAGGATTTTCGACTTCAGCAGCGATTCTTTCAACACCAAATAAAATAAAAGCTACAAAGAACACAATAACAATAGTCAACCAACCAACAATAGCAACAAATTGAAAAGGTAAACTTAAACAATAAATCCATAATGTTTGGTATAAATGGATAGAAAAAGCAAGAGGAAGTGGTGTTTTCAAAATTCTTTCAAAGCGTGTTATATATAAAACCATTTCATTAATCATCGCTAATAAAACATTAGCCATTGGAACTTCAATTCTTTTTTTTCGAAACTGTGTTGTAACATAGCTAGAAATATAAAGAGTAATCTCTAACGGAAGATTATGTTTTAAATCTATAAATGGTTGTACTGGTTGCTTTTTCTTGTTAATAAAGTGTAAAGTTTTAGGTGTTTGATTATCTGTAATTATTTCAAGCTGATTTAAAATTTCAAATCCGGGTAAATGTGATCTTACACTCAAATAAGGTTTAATATCCTCCAAAATATTTCCATCCTCTCCACGTAGAAAATGTTTTAAAGCAAATGCAAATCCTACAAGGAGTCTTATAGCAGCTCTCTTTTCTATCAAGATTTCTTTTTCTTCCTTTTTATCTGTTTCATTAGCACTTCTAATATCTACCCAAATAAGTCTTGTTATGTTTCTAATACAAACTACTACTCCTGACCAGGTTTTACGACTCTCCATATATCTATATATTAAAATAAAATCAGCTATACTTCATGTAAAAAAACTACATAACTAAATAATAAAATTATAATTCCTTACGTATTACAAGCAGAATTTAATCTGTATGTTAATAAAAGAGAAATTGAAAAACCAGTTACAGGAATTAATATTAATGATTCTGGAATACTAAGTTTAATATTAGTCGTTATGTGTACTCCAGTAATGATAGCTGTAAATAAAGTTATAATCAAAGTTTGTAATATAACATTTGGAATGATAGATCCCTTAAATCTAAAAACATTTAATAAACTTGGCTTATAATATTCGACGTTCATTTGAATAATATTAAAAATTAATAACGTAATATTGTTAGTTTATTTGTTAAAAAAAATCAACTTTGCTGTACGAAGGACCATTTAAATAATTTCTGCTTGCCTAGTAAAGTATTATGCATATTGTATTTGATAATCGTATATATAATAACAAAAGAATGTGTTACGTTACACCCGGCGTTCATACATGACATGACGAAATCTTTTTATCGAATCGCAAGCAAAAATGGAAATTTAATTTGGTAAAATAAGCTATAAATACGTATTTAAGGTTAAAAAATTAGTATTAGAAGTGTTCGAAAATTCTTAATATTCTTAACGACTTAATGATGATCGATCTCAAAATCGATTACCCAGCATCGATTACTTCATTTTTCTTACCGTTAACAAACCTTTACGTATTATTCTATTTCTTTCACTTTTACCCATCATATCATATTTTGTAATTCGGTTGACAAATTATTTTCATATTTCTTTATTGTAAGGATTGTTGTAAGTTACAAATCGAGGAAGTATATAAAGAACTGGCTCTTACCAGAGAAAGGACAGATCTTCTATCAAACTTGTACGTACGTCAGTACATACATTTAATCCCGCATTTGGTAATTCCTTAACAATTAAAAAATCAAACCTGTATTAACAAGGATAATATCTAATTACGCAAAACCTTAACGTTAACACAACCGACTATAATTACTAATTTCAAAAGTTCCTAATTCTCACACTCTCAAGCGACCACAAAATAAATAACCGCTTAAACAAAAAAGCAACTACTCTAATATTGATAGTCTCGAACTGAAATTGGCAACAGGAATTAGTCTCTCCTCAGACCACAACAGAGGCTATATAGGTATTGACACTTTTAATCCCATTACAATCTTTTTTTGTCGGCACGCTGCAGATCGATTCCGTAAATGAAAATTAATACGTGCCACTATTATTGATTGCATTCTTATTCGTGACCCACCACGGAAAAATTTTCGTCAAAAAATTTTATAAGATCTGTTCTGATTTATCTGAGTCAGGTTGAGATGAGTTGAGTAATCAGATCTATCTGTGAGTGCACCTCAAAAAAATTTTATCGAATTCGGATTATTTTTTAACTTTGAAAAATACTTTCTTTACAATGTAACTTATAATATATTGTAGTGATGAGCAATATTTATATAACTGAACAATCTACATTTTCCTCAAATTTCTTTGCGTAATACGTGTAATGTAAAAAGTAGCGAATGAAGACGGCAATCATGTGAAAATCAGATAATAAAAGCAAAAAAATCATCCCAACAACTCTTTATAGTTAATGTTAGGATAAGAATGATTGTCTTATAAAATCATTCTAATAGCTTATGGTTGGTTAAGTTTAGGATGAGAAAGATCATCTTATACAACTATTTTTTAAGGTTAGCACCTTTTGTTTTTGTATTCAGTGTTTCGTTACGGAAATATACAAAAACGTGCGTATTCGTTTTTTTAATCCTTTACAAATTTGCTGTTAAATTAGGGTTAGGGTTTGCTATTAGAATAGGTCAGAAAAAGCTTTTTTTAATACCAAAATTCGCAAGGAAAACTTTTTGTTAGTGTAATTTGTTGAGTTACGAATTTGATTCGATTTTTTGTATTACTCCTAATCGTGGAATTTGATTGGTAATTATAGGATATTTCAATTTGTATTTTAATACCTAGTAAAGCCTTTTTTAGATTAAAAGGAATAATATTAAAATAAAATACACCACATAAACATTATTAGCAAAGAATATTGCACTGCATAACAATTAAGCAAAGAGGATACGTCATCTTTAATAAAATATTCATAGTACTATTTAATTCACTTTATACATTAATTTATAATATAAAAAATTTTTATTCTCAACCCAAGTGTTTAAATAAATTATTCGAATTATAAACAGTATTTACTTTAAAATTGCTTAAATAAATTATTCGAATTACAAATAATATTTACTTTAAAAGTGCTTAAATAAATTATTCGAATTGTAAACAGTATTTACTTTAAGAGTGCTTAGTAAAGATAGTATTTATAATAAGCTATTCACAATAATTTGTAAGTATGAAGGATGTTTATTAATCTAAATACTGTATCTGAATAAGCTATTCGAGTTATGATATTTACAATCAATACATTGCATTGGCAATAAATTATAATTCTCTATAATTTAATATATATATATATATATATATATTTATTTATCAAATCTTTTTATCATAAAATAAGTAAAAGCAAGTTGATATATTGAATTATTATCTGTAAAAATATAATCATTAGAATAATGTAATTTTATAAAAATAATCGGCAGATTCTGACCATTTCTTCTTATTATATATAGGCCTCCTTTTAAGTATTTATTTTTTCTGGTAAAAGTAATTCATCACTGTTCTCTTGCACATATTGTTCAATAAATTCACCATAATCGGTATTATCTGCATTAAAGAATTTTAAATTAAATCGTTAAATAAATTAAATAATAATTGATTTTATATACCTAAATTCTTTGGTACTAGCAAATTTTTAAAATCAAGAATTTTGCTTGTAGTAATATCTGATGGCTGAATTGGTAAGGTAGTACTTGAAATTTCTAATTCTAAAATTTCATAACTTTTTTCTCTTAGAAATTTAAATTGATATGACTGAAAAAATCCCTGAACTAATGATGCTTTTGGTCTACGGAGGGGATCTGCATTCCAACATTGTTTCATAAGTTTTGCATAATCATCAGGCGTTCCGGGAATGATTGGTAGTCTAAGTTCATTGCATATATTTCTAGCAAGATGAATATCATATGATGTATTCACAAATGGACTAACCCTACTTATAAGTTGCTACATCAAAATACCAAAACTATATATATCAGCAGCATAGGTATATTTTTCACCAAATAAAACCTCAGGTGCAACGTATGGTAGCACTCCATATACTTTACCATAATTTTCATCATCTGCAGGCCCAGAAATTCCCAAATCCGAAATATACCAAATTAAGTCTCGCAAAATATTACCAGGATGAATGTCCTTATGTACAAAGTTGTTTTTGTGAATAGTTTTAAGAGCACCGCCAATCGCTGATAGTATAGAAATTCTTTCATTCCATCCAAATGTAACAGAGCTTGCATTGCATTTTCTAGGTAACAATTGAGATCTCCATCTTTCATATGTTCTAAAATTAACATATACTCTCTATTATATATATTTTTTGTTATTCCATAACATTTGACTAAAAAGGACAGGTTATGATTAAATTCAAAACGTGTTGAAACCTATTTTGTGAAAATTTTCCTATTAGCAAACTTTTTTAATGTTCAAAATTATAAATTAAATCAGGTAAAACTTTCCTCTTTAAAATATTTCTCGCTATAATTTTTAGAATTATTTAAAGATTTTAGGACGACTTCAATTAATCCATTCCTCAAAAATTTTTGATTTCATAATCCCATTCTGTAATTTTTCCATTTAACCATTCAGCAGTATAAATAGATCCAAATTCACCTTTTGACTTATACTTGATATTTTTAAAATTTTCAAAAGGTATCCATTCAACAAAACTGCCTGGATCAAGCATATTTATTTGTATTGATTGAATAAAGTTCATCAATAAATTTATTTCCTGAAGTCCAATTGGTAAAATTATTCCTTATATGTTGTTCAAGACATTTATAGCACCAACTATCTGAGTACTGTACATCTCAATTTGACAATTTTTATATTTTGTTTGAAATCCCATATGATCTTGAATATCTTTTTCTACTTTATGGGCATCGGTCGAGATTAAAATTTCTTTTTCCTCATCATTAAGCTCTTAATTTTCTTGAATAAATTTAGGCCATTCATTCAATAACGCATATTCTTTACTTTGGACATATCTATTAAAATTTCAAGCATTAGGTCGATAAGAACCGAGGAAAACCTCTTTTGGAACTGATCCAAATCCCTTATAAGAAGATGTTAAAATCATTTCAGCGATGAAATAAATGAAAAATGGTTAAAGGTAAATTATACACATTCTTTAATAATTAAGTAAGCAAACTATAGCGAGCAAAGCAATAGTGAGCAAATATTTATGGTGTTTTCGCAAAGTAAATTTTTCAGGTCCGTGACCAATCAGAACAAGATTAGGTATAACGTGAATCGGGTTTTTTTGATATGAACTTTGCCTTGAATTTTAAAAGCCAAAAAATTTTTCTTGAAAGCGAAATTTAAACTGTGCTTTATTTGCACAATTTCAGAATTTAACTAAAAAATCTATATATGTAATGTAACACCTATGCGTGTAACTAACTCTTTAATTTGTGATTATTCGAAGTACCGTAAATGGCCCGGCTCTGTTACATTTCACCAGTTTTAAAACCTCTTTAATAGACCCTAGGTATAGTACACAGCTGAGGGTTTATATCATATAATGTAAAAATTTGAAATGCATATACACTTTGCGTTTATAACAGACAATCTAGATTTTTTAAAAGTACTACATTTAATTAAAGAAGATCCTGTGATTTGCACTGGATACAGTACATAGTGGGTCTACTACTGTATTTAGGGAGATCTTATATTCTCTCAAAGCCCGTCATTAGCATTATATAAAACCACTAGCATCAGAAATATTTTACATCTAATCTATATAGCTGGTTTAAAATTAGGAGTAATAGAATTTTGTATTTAAAAATAATTGATCAATTTACCCTAATCATATTCATGCCTGATAAGGACCATATTGATTCCTTCACTGATATGCTGTTCCATATCTGAAAACCAGTCTCTTATGCCTAATTAACGGTCAAGTGTAATGATGGAAAATTTTCAGGGTAATGATTTAATTAAGGGATCTACTGGTTGCAGCACATATAAAATTTATAACGATCTATAGGTTTTGTAAAAAAATACCGTTTTCACTTCTAAGCTAACATTTGTATCTTACAATATAACCAGTACTCTTTATTATAATAAAAATTTTTGTTATTTCATATTTATATACTATCTATATTTTTTCCCTTTACGTCAAAAACCTTTGAAGTATCTTATTTTGAAAATGGCGTT